TCCAAGCACATTCAGGTTCCCTGCCCCTTCCCAAGCACCTTTGATTACATCCTCACAACCATCCTCGGTGAGCCAATACGTCTCAAACTTAAAAGCTTTTTTCTTTTTCTTCTTCTTTTTCCCAGGAGCATCATCATATCTGAGTAAAATGGGAGCATGATCAGATTTGATGCGCACAATGTGTTCAACAGAAGCATTTGTGTATAAAGAGCACCACGACATCGACCCAAGGAACCTATCTTTCACGAATCCGGGTGGAAGGATTTCTCCCACGTTCCCATGTATACCAAGTTCCACTGTACCCCAAGTCCCTTAGGTTACAATCAAGGAGGGCTTCACGAAAATTCTCTATCTCTTTTCTTTCCCCGAGGGCTCCACCTTCTCTCTCATCGTACGAAAGAAGCTCATTAAAATCACTTCCCAATAAAATCGGGACATCATCATCACAGAGTTGCCTAATGAGCTGCCAAGTGTGAACTTTCTCTTCGGCCTTAGACCACCCATAAACACCTGCGAACCTCCACTTCAAGCTCCCTTCACTCCACACATCCCCACAAATGTGGTGATGGGAATAGGACACAAGACGAAAGTCAATGCTCTCCTTCCATTAAATGCATAATCCCCCTGACTTACCCATGCTAGAAACACCGAAAGCTCCATAATAGCCCAAGCTCCCTTTGAGGTCCTCTACTACCTTATTTTCAACCATAGTCTCAGAAATAAATAGTAACCTCGGGCAATACTTGTGACTCCACTTCCGAAGTCGCCGAACTGATCGGGGGTTGCCCATTCCCCGACAGTTCCAAGCTAGAATACTCATTGGGTACGGTGGGGTTGGTCAACACCAACCTCCGCCAAGGGCCCCACGCCACCGGGTAATGTCGTATAGATGATCTTCCCAATGTGTAACTCTTGCTCTGCCATGTCTTCCCCCTCCCTTGAACGTTTCCCTGTCTCTGCAGCAATGGTCTTCTAAATATTCCCTCCCCACCCTCCCTTGCTACTCGTTTCCATTGTCCCATGCCCCATTTTGTACCAACTTCTTTTGGTACTCTCACTAGCTGAGCCTCAATAACCCCGTCCTCACACTTCCTGCTTGTGTCAACAGAGGTATTTAAAGGCTCTATTCTTTTTCCCGACTTTTCACCACTCTTACCCCCTTCCTCCAAGGTATTACTATCATGAACAGCACTCGAAAACTCTGCAGATTTTTCACCATGACTGACAGTCACTTGCTCACTAGCTATCTTCGAAATTCCTCTATTTGCACCTACTCCCATCTCTCCTACTCCACCAGTATTATGAGAATTTTTGGTGATAAAGAGCCTTCGAACAGCACTGCTCAGCTCTCCCTCATCATCTTTCACTTCGTTTTTTGCAGCTTTCCACGGGGTAGACACACGTAGCCGTTCATTGAATTTTCTCGTGATCACATTATCATCACAATCCTTCTCCCCATGGCCTAACAAACCACAGATATAGCAGAACACAGAACACACAGGTAGTTTCTCATATTTAATAGGCACCTCCATTATTCCCCTACCCGTTCGAAGTTCCACCGTCTTCATCAAAGGTTTATTAACATCAATATTAACACGAATTCTTAAAGATTTATTGATCCCTATTACATCTGATTTGTCCATGGCAACAAAGCTTCCAATTTTATTCCCTAATCTCCTAGCATTGTCCTCATTATTTCTACCCTTAAAAGGTAAATCGTACACCCGAATCCAAAAAGGTACACAATGTAACGGAATTTCAGAGGGCTTAGAGTTACCTTTTGCGTCCGCCAAGACCATGACATGGTGATCAAAATGCCAAGGTTGAGAGTCCATAACAAACTGCTTGTCTTTCCAATGATGAAATTGGAAATAGAAAACTTTGTCCCCGATGATATTCGCCTCACAGCCGTGTTTTGGACTCCAGACTTTTTTCATAGTATTGATTAGGGCATTTGCTTTCACATTACGAGGAGTATGAATCCTTCCCACAATAGCCAATTCAATTTGATCCTCCTCATCTCCCCCTCCTTCGTCCTCCCAATCGATATCACTTCCATTGGCCAAACTAAGGAGTACTTCATTATCTTTTCCAGAACTCGCCATAATAACGAGAACGGAATACAATTCAAGAAGCAAATTCGACACAAGACTTCGAGGATGAAGCAAAAGCTAGCATAATAATAATAATAATTGTTTCGGATGAAAACAATCGAATCTCGGAAGATCCTTTTATCTTGAGGGAACTTGGTCTCGGTCCGAACGACGCAGGAGCCGAGGGTTTCCTGCACAACAAATACACGTAAACTAGCCTCGGGGGGGACGCCGAGGAAGGCCCCTCCGATGCTTAAGTCAGTATATTAGAGAGAGAAAGCTGTGCAAGAGTTTAGTTGCTTGAGGCTTTATTGTCCTACCAAGAATTGACCAAATTGTTGGCTTTTATACCTTGGCTAATGAAGGAGGCGGATTGGGCCCGGAAGTCAGTTGGGCTGGGCCAAGCTGATTGGGCCGTTGACTGACCTTGACATGGCTTTGAGGATGTTTGATTTTTGACTTTAGCACATTTGGAGAGTTGAACCTTAACCTTGGGCTTTTAATTGGATCATTCAGTGACCAGGCCCAATTGGACTAAATTGGACCCAAACAACTTGCCCCCCAGACCCGATTTGGAAGGATGACGGGTCGGGTTTGATTTAATCAGAAAAGGAGGGAAGTGAATGATTTGTTAATCCAAAAATGTGAATTTAAACCGTAATTAACCCATGATTAATGAGATAACAACAGTTAATGTGGATAATTGCGGAAGTTGGATGGGTAGTGGGCGATTTAACTGCAAGGTCGTGTGTTTAACGGTTACTTAGTGGGGTGCTTGAGAGAAATTGAAACGCAGACTCCTTGAATTCCCATTTCTGGAGATATAAATAGAGGCGCGTCTTCTCTCCCCACTCATTCATCAACACAAACCCAGAATTCTCAAGAACGCTCAAGAGCCCGCATCAAAACTTCGCAAATTCCCCGAGCATTAAGCTTAGAAGCTGAGACTTGTCACTACCAATTCGTAAATCGGCGGCTTTTGCTTCAGATCAAGGTAAATTCCTTTGATTTTATTTCATTTTTCTTCGACTTTGCACTCTTTCCCCTTTTTCGACTTTTTCCTTCGAAATTCGTCAATGGTGAGGGGAGTTAGAGGTGGAGCCCGTGCTCCAAGAAGAGCAAGGCTAATCCCCGATCCCAGGGACAGGATTGGGACCTGGAATGGACGAAGGACAGAGTCTGACCCTGCTGAAGGGGTTAGGGCGACTCCCATTTCTTCGGCTCCTCCTCAGAGAACGGATGAGCCGAGTGCTTCTGGACGGGACGATGAAATTCCCGCTGTCCTTTGGGATATCCTCCCTGGGTTTTCAGAGTGGGAGAATGCCGAAGTCGCTTCGGCCATGATAAAGAACCGCCCCTACTCATGGTGGGTAGAGAACGCCGATCAATATCGATTTGCCGAGCAAATTGAGTTGCACTACGGCATTTTTGAAGCTGATGGATATTGGTGCCGAATGCCCTCAGCATCCGATAGAATCCATCGTCCACCCCCGGGGTATGTGGGGGTGTACACGAGACAGCTTCAGTATGGGCTGAGGTTCCCTTTGGACGTTTTCGTCCGAGACTTGCTGATCCATTACAACATTTCCCTGTGCCAGCTGACCCCCACCAGCATCCGAAGGGTAATGACGTACTTATGGGTCTGCAAATTCTTCAGGTACGTGCCGAACCTGCATTGCTTCAAAAGGCTCCATCGGCTAGTGCCAAACATTCAAAGTGGGCACGGATGCCATGGCTCTGGGTGGTATCGGATTGAGTCTCGGCCCCCGTTCCTAACCATGTGGCCGAACGACTCTTCAGACAAGGACTGGAGAGGTCAATGGATTTGGGTTAGGGCACCCACGGAGCCGAGCCACCCTTACGTTTTCAGCGCTCCCCGGTATCTTGCCGAGCCGGATCCTGATATGGGAAGTTTAGGTCCTCCCGAAGATAGCGGGCCAGACCCGAACCTTAATCAGCAGAACATCTTCGGCAAGCTGCCGAACCGGGGAGGCAGCGGCCGAATGCAGCATATCCCGGAGACTTGGCTCCCCGATACGCACTATGTTTTCCAAGAGAATATGCTGGCAGCTGTCGGCCTCAGCCGAAAGTTTAGGGATGGTAATCTTCTTCGGCTGGGGCCGAGGCCTTTTAATTATCTCTTTTCTTCTTTCATTTTGCTTTCTTGTGATGTGCCGAACTAACTGAATTGACTTCTCCCCTTTTCTTTTTCAGAACGGGACGAGACCAACGTCGGCATTGATTACGCTCGCCTTGGCGTCAACCGAGAACGAGTCGTAACTGATCGGGCTCCCCCTATCACTGAACCAAGGCGCCGAGAGGTTCACCTAGACTCTTCCCACTTCCAAATTGAGGCTGTTGCTCTGTATCAGAGGCAGAAGCCTTGGTGGAAGAAGAGGGATCCCTTGTTTCAGCTGCTGGAAGAAGAAGCTGAAGCTGCCCGTACAGCCGAAGAGGTTGCACGGGTTATTGAAGCTTGTGAAGGTGGAGAAGGGTCCTCCAGAGTTGCTGAAGAAGCTGCGGCTAGGGCAGCTGAAGAAGACGAGGCTTTGCTGAAGACCTCGGTGAGCCTTTAGACTTTGTCTTTTTCTTCTTTTTTTTTTTTTTTTTTACTCACACTCTTCTTCCCCCCTGTCTGTTACAGTCTGAAGAGAGTAACAGACACAGAAAAGGCAAAGCTCCTGTTCGTCCCGAAGATCAAATACAAGAGTCTTCAGACTCAGATATGGACGAGCAGCCGCTTCAGAAGAGGCGCCGAAGAATGGCCATCATCGGCCCGCATGACTTTCAGCGGAGGCCGATGACCATCGGCGTTGAAATAAGGGAACCCGAGGAAGGCAATGGATCGCCGAGGGTTCCCCGGCCACCGCCTCAATCACCCCAAGGGCCTCTCCGCCACCCCCCGAGATGGAGGTGGATCAGAGAACTCCCAAACCTAAGGGAGAGGTTCTGGAAGAAGCTCGAGAGAGTGCCGCCGAGGACAAGGATGGAGACGCCGTGATGCCCAGTGCTGAGGGTTTCACGGCGGACATTGCCAGAGAGGTTGGGGCCTTCGTCCTCACACCTGAAGAAGAAGAGGTCACAATAATTGACTCTTCTGAGAAGGAGGAGGACGTTGAGCCACCCAAAGCTAAAGAGGCTCCATCGTCATCCTTCCCTTCCTTCCAGACGCTGCAGTCTGGAGAAATGGGTTTCTCGGCCCCCCGAATTCCAGTCCCAGACCACATCTGGGACCTCATATGGGGTCAGAACCGAGAAGGTGCTGCAGCCTACTTCGGCGATTTTGCTGGCCTGTCCGAAGTAGATAGGGCAAGGATTTGGTCGCTGAAGGCCACTGCTGGGATGGGCGAATCCAGCAGATCAGTTCCTGACCCTGCCAGGTCCAACCAACTGCTGATGATGCAGGTAATTCTCCTTGCCTTGATTTCTTTCTGAACTCAACCTTTCAGCTATTATTTTTTACTTTTTTAACTTGTGCCCCTGTTTTCAGTTCGTGCACAATCAGACTCTCACTGTAGAGCTGATTGATACCCTACAAGATAGGGTAGACGCTGCTGTGCACGAAAGGAAGGTGGCTGAAGAGGAAGTTAAGCTTGCTAAGCTGAAGCAAGCAGCAGCTGAAGAGAAGCAGCAGGAGGTTGAGGAGTACGGTAAAAAAGCTGCCGAAGCTCTGAAAACCTTCTGTGATGCTATGGAGATGGAGGTTTTTCCCCCACTGATGGAAGGGGAAAAATTCCTCCAGGAGCATATGGGAGTGGACGTCTCCAAATTCAAGGCTGCTATTGAGAGCCGAATTCAAGAAGGAACTGCTGCACAAGCTGAAGTGCAGCAGCGTCTAGAGGTTCTTGAAGCCAGCCGAATGGCTGCTGAAGAGTTGCTCTTGGCCAAAGACGTCCAACTCTCAGAGGCTGCTGCTGCTGCTGAAGCTCAAAGAGCTAAATTCCAAGAGGCTGAGGATCAACTGCTGATCCAGAAAGTTGAAGTGGCCCAAGCTCAGACAAAGGCTTTCCAAATTCAGCAAGAGCTGAATGAGCTGAAGGGGTCCTCCTCCAAAGTCGCTGAACAGCTGAAGAAATCCAAGGAGGACTTGGAGGAGACCCAGAAGAAGCTGGCTGATGCTGAGGCTTTACTCAAAGTCCGTGTTTACACCCAAGAGGAATATGAGATGGGTTTCAGAAACGGATTCCGAGTATGCCGAAGACTCTGCCTTCATGCTGAGCCGAAGCTGGACTGGTCTAAATGTGCTGAGTGGGTCCAGAATCCCGAAGACCCTCACATGAAGTATGCAACTCCAGCTGAAGCTGAAATTCTTAAGGCTGAGGAAGCCGAAGAGGAAGCTGAAAGACTGGAGTTGGAAGCTGAGCAGAGGGAAAGGGAGGCTCGGCAAAGTGCAAAGCCCGCCTCTTCTGCTGCTGGGGCTGAGGCCACCAGGGGACTCAACGCTGATCAGTCTGATCCTCCGGCTGAAGCATAGGAACTCGGGCAGTCGTCTTCAGAATCTTGCGGTTCATCATGTGCTTAACTTTAGACTTGCCGCTTTCTGAGTTTTTGCCTTTTGTTTTTTTTTTGCTTCAGCTTGCCTTATCGTACAACAGCTTATTATATTTTTATTTTGCCTGTACGTATTTCGGCAGCTGTTACTTTCCGCTTGTGGGCGGCTGCCGACTATTTTTGTAATTCAACATTTTTATTTCAAAGAAGTTCACTTTCTCAGCTTTCTTGTGTATTTTTTTTTTTTTTTTTTTTCTTCGCTTTACCAGTCTTCGCACTTTACTGCTTTCTTTGAATGATCTTTCAAATATTTGCTAAGTGCAGAACTTCGGCTAGCGAGAATCATTTCTGCTGAGACTTCTTTTTGCCGTTTGTACTCGGATGTTTTCAACTTGTGAAAAAACTGACATAAGTATCAAACTTCGGCTGAGCTGAAGGGTATTAGATCAGTTGTGCCATTTCTCTATTTCCCTCTGCCCCCCCAGAAATCTGAAGATGAGGTCTTCTGAATTCTGGAATGGCTGATAATTTTTCTCGGCTAAGCCGAGGATCTTTGAACACTTTGCTTTATTTTCTACATCTGTTTTTAAAGTACTGATTTCCCACCTGAGAGTTTTCACTCTAGAGATGGTACTCTTGTGACACTTTCTTCAATTCATCCAAGGGAACAACTATCCGAAACACCATGCCGGGGCAGCAGTTTATCTGAAGTACGAGGCATCATCATGCAATACTTCAGAGTTGCAACTACCACCCGGAACTGATTCATCCGAAGTACAAGGCATCACTATGCAATACTTCGGGGCTTTATCAGTTCCTATTTTTTAGGCTATGTTTCGGATAAGTCTATGGCCTTTTTGCCCAAAGGAACAGATTCTCCGAAGTACAAGGCATCACTATGCAATACTTCGGGCTTGTATCCTTTTTTGGCAGGTTTTACGGCTTGCCGAGGTACAAGGCATCATTATGCAATACCCCGGACAGCGCCGAATGAAACCTTGAATTTTTGAAAAACCGTAGAAAGCATAAAGACTTAAAGAATACACGCAATCTGAATGAATACTGGCCCGATGGCCTTTTTGTAAACAAAATCAGTGTACTTACATAGATTGTACTATCCGAAGGATTTACACATAGTATTTTTTTAGCACATCGGCATTCCAATGGTTTTTCAGCTCGGTGCCATCCATTTGTTTGAGTCTGAAGGTACCGGGCTAAAGCTCTTGATAAATTTCATAAGGTCCCTCCCAAGATGCTGAGAGTTTGCCATGAATGTGACTTTTTTGAACAGCTGCAGCATTCCTCAAAACTAAATCCCCAACTCTGAGAGGTCGTTGATAGACTCTTCGGTTGTAGGACTTGCTCATTCTGAGCTTGTGTGCAGCCATCCTTTCTCGGGCTAGATCTCTAATCTCGTCAAGGAAGTCGAGGGACTCTTTCATGAGCTGCTCATTTTCCTCGGCTGAGAAGAGATTCACTCGTAGGCTTTCTGAGCCCACTTCCACTGGAAGCACTGCTTCGGATCCATACACCAGCTGAAAAGGTGAATGCCCCGTTGCCTCCTTCTCGGTTGTCCGGAGTGACCAGAGGGTTCCCGGAAGTTCCTCTACCCACTTGGACTTTTGATCCTCTACTCTTTTTCTGAGAGCGTTAAGGATCTGTTTATTCGCGGCTTCGGCTTGGCCATTACTCTGAGGGTGGCAAACCGCGGAGTAAGCCAATTTTATCCCGAATTGATCAGTGTATCGGCGCAAGGGCAGGTTGTCAAACTGTCTGCCGTGGTCGAACACAAAAACTTTTGGGATGCCGAACCGAGTTATTATGTTCTGCCAGATGAACTGTCTGACAGTTTGCTCAGATATGCTTGAAGCAGCTTCCGCTTCAATCCATTTGCTGAAATAGTCGATTCCGACTATCAGCCACTTTCTTTTGTATGGGGCCTCGGGAAAGGGTCCCAGAATATCCAACCCCCATTGTGCAAATGGAAGAGGATTAAGAATTGGCTGGAGGTCTAGGCATGGCCGATGGATTACCGGTGCAAATTTTTGGCATTTCTCGCATTTTCTGACCATGTTCTTTGCATCCGAGATCATTGTAGGCCAAAAATACCCTGCCCTGAGAGCTTTGTGGGCTAAGGTTCTCCCTCCTATGTGGTTTCCGCAGATGCCGAGGTGAATCTCTCGGAGAATATAGTCGGCATCCGTTGGACCCACGCATTTCAATAATGGAGCGGAGAAGGATTTTCTGAGGAGTTGGCCGCCGAAGACGAGGAATCGTGAACTGATCCGCTTTATCTTGGAGGCCGAATTCCTATCCTCGGGGAGCTCGTCCCTGAGTTTATAAGCCAGGATGTCATCCATCCAGCTCGGCTCGAGTGCAGCGCAGCAGATTGATATTGCTTCGGCTACACTCTTTTCTCGGCGCACCTCCACATAGACAGAACGGCTTAACTCAGTCAGAGTTGAGCTTGCAAGTTTGGAGAGTGCGTCCGCTTGAGCATTTTGACCCCTTGGGATCAGCTCTACTTCGAAAGATCTCAGCTTCGCAATTGTCGATTTGATCCTTGTGAGGTAAGCTGCCATTGAAGGCTCTTTAGCCTCATACTCCCCCCGGATCTGATTGGCGACCAGCTGAGAATCTGTCTTGAGGTAGACATGCTCGGCTTCCAACGATATGCACAGGTCTAAGCCAGCAATGGCTGCTTCATATTCGGCCTCGTTGTTAGAGGCTTTGAATGAAAATTTTAGGGCATACTCGAAGGTTTTGCCTTCGGGAGAGGTAATGACGACCCCTGCCCCCGAACCGTTCACGGTGGAGGACCCATCCGTGAAGACGGTCCAGATTTTCCTCCTTGCATCCAGAGTCTCCTGATAGGAGCACTCGGCCAAGAAGTCTGCCAAGGCTTGCGCCTTGATGGCTGTTCTCGGCTGATAACCGATACTGAACTCGGTGAGCTCGAAAGCCCACTTTGCTAGTCTACCGGATTTTTCAACCTTGCCGAGGACTTTCTCTAACGGCTGATCAGTTAGAACCGCTATTTGATGAGAATCAAAATAGGGTCGCAACTTCCGAGCAGCCACCACCACTGCATAAGCCACTTTTTCTAACAATGGGTAGCGCGTCTCGGCATCCGTCAGGGTGTGGCTGACGAAATAGATCGGCTGTTGAACTTTTTCTTCTTCCCTTAGCAGCACCGCGCTTACCGTGGCTGGACTGACCGCCACGTATAAGTATAGGATGTCTCCTACGACTGGCCTTGCCAGTGTTGGGAGTTGAGCCAGGTGTTCACGGAGCTGCTGAAAGGCTGACTTTTGTTCGTCTCCCCATTCAATGCCTTTTGAATTTTGGAGCTTCAGCGCCTTGAAGAAAGGGAGCCCTTTGTCTGAGGCTCGTGAGATGAACCTGGACAAGGCAGCCATTCTCCCGGCTAGACGCTGAATATCCCTTTTTGTCTTCGGCTCGGGGAGGTCTAAAGCAGCTTGTACTTTGGCGGGGTTTGCATCAATCCCCCTCTTGCTGACCATG